CCCCCCCCCCCCCCCCCCCCCCGCCTCTAACAGCTCATCCAGTTGTGAATATCAGTGGATTAATCCACAATGAGTGTAGTGCCCGGTGGTCCAGGCCCTTCTCCAGGGGACTCCTAATTCAGCCAAGTTTAATCATCACAGAGGTTTGCTTTGCATGCTGTAAAACTCCTCCCCCTGGTGTGCATCCTGAGAACGTGACGCAGAAATACTGAGACTGCCACAGTGGAGAGTAGCACCGACACCCGTGTGTTCCCCATGTGTCTCAAGTCAGCCTCTTCTGTGCTGGCATGCAAGGCAGCCCTGGGTCTGCTTCCTGTCCCTGACACCAGCCCAACATGAGACATTGCCCTTGTGATGGTTCTTAGTTGTCAGTGACTTGATTCACTTCATCTGGGGCTCTCACTTTTATTTATTCATTTTCCTCCTAAAATAATTTGAAGCTCGTTTGTTCATGTTACAGAGTTCATCAGATACCATATATGGAGCTGATTTGAGTATTTTTGCAAATAACTTCTTGCAGTGTTCTAAAATGCAAGCTTTTATCCTAGTGGCCAAGCATGTTTTCATGTGCTTTTGAAACATTTTTAATTCATTTGGATGCTGATAAATACCCCATTGAGGTAAAAATGAAAGCTGTTGTTGGGATAATTTAGCAAACTCTAACCTGAGTCAATAATAAGTTTAAAGTTTTTTCCACAAAGACTGATAAATAATGCCATGGGCCCACCTGTCACTAATGCCAGTCTGAGAAATGATAAAATGATAATAGTTGTCTGAAGTAGACACTGAACTCTGTTTTCACTGAATATTTTTAAAATGTTGATTAAAATCAGAAATAATGGCCCCTGGCTCAGTTCTCTTCAGACCCAGATCTTTTTTCTCCTGGATGTTTAATTTCACTGGAGTTACGTCTGTAATAGTTGTCTTGGTGGTTGTCAGTATACACCATACTCAAGGGAAGTGTTTCTCATTTTAAAAAATGATTCCCTTGGTCAGTAATTTACCTTTCAGCCCCTAAAACAGTCTCCCTGATACTCGTGGCTCTGACTGGCTCTAAAGAGAAATGATGTCAGTGTTAATCTCATTTTGTTTCCAAGCAGGAAAGATGTAAGTGGCTTGCTGTTCAAGGTCTAGCCAGTCCTTACAGTGGCTCTGGCTGGCATTAACACTGACTGAGGCCAGCCTGCCTGCCTTCCCATGACAGATTCGTCTGTTCTCTGCTTTCTCTGTAACACTCCAGATTCCTCCAAAATTTCTATGGCTAGCAGTGTGAGCATAACTAGAGGCCTTTGAAGAAGCTATGGGATTTCTTTAAGTTCATAAATGTTTCCTATGTTGTTTTTCTTTGTGAATAAAAACTAAAGAATCAGAGGCTGAGGCAGAAGAATTGCAAATTTGAGCCCAGCCTAAGCTATTTAGCAAGACCCTGTCTCAAAATAGAAAAGGGCCAGGGATATAGCTCAGTGTGAAGGCCCTGGGTTCAATCCCCAGCCCCACAAAATAAAAACAAAACAAACAAAAAGCTGAGAGTCAGGTAAAATTGGCTAAAACCATTAAGGTGACATTCAGAAGGGTTCGATTATAATGTTCTGCACTCAGGGCAAAGGAATGGGTTTTGTGGGTGTACACCTTGGAGAACCAGGGTATGGCAGTTCATTAAGAGATGAATGTGTAGCACCTGAGGTCGACCCAACCATATGCAGCTGCTCCACATGAATCACTGGTATGAAGCTGCTAAAAATAGACACATTTTCAAGGGTGCATTAATAAGCATGTAGGTAATTGCTCCTCCGTTTTTGTATGGTCAGACTGCAGCTGGTGTGTTGTGTTACAATTAGGCCATTTGTGAGGAAACAAAGTTTGGAAGTTGTAATGAAGCGTCTCCGACCACCTTCAGCAGAGTTCACTCCTGATAGCTGTCCATAGTCCTGGGGGATAGCCCAGAGTAGTGACCTTATTAGTGCCACGAAAAGGGTCTAACTGGGCTGTTTGTGTCAGGAGCAGGACCGTTCTCCGCATCCTCACTGCGGAGCAGTGCCTCACATGATGCTGTTGCATGTGTGAGTGGAGAATGATGATCACGTGGCCTGAGGATCCATGCTCAGTGAAAGGGAAGCCCCGGCAGAATTTTCATTCTAGATCCCTCTTCAGGACCAGGGCTTATGGGAAAAGAATGACTAGCTAACACCCACGCAAGTAGTTTATTCTATTTGGAGATGGAATTTGACCTTGGCTGCTTAATGACCCTTTACATGTTTCTCCTGTTGGATTTTGCCTTAGACCTGAGGTGTTTGCGTGACAGTGTAATAAGGGGGTGACCTTTGCCACTCCATTGATGACCAGGATTACTCTGGCTGCTCTAAGCGGCTCCCTGAGAAACCTCTGGCGCCTTTATTCAGTCCAAGGGGGCATCCTGGGGAACAGGGAGCTGACTTGGTGCTGATTCTGTGAAGAGCTGTGTCCCTTTCTTGACAGTGTCTAAAATGAGTGACAGTCTACCAGGTGGCACTGCCCATAGAGCAGCAAAGTCACAGCTTTGGCATGAGGAGTCTTCTGCTCCTCTGAGCCACCAAGAAGCAGAGGAGGAAGAAAGAGAAAATGAGATGAAGTGAAGATGGAAGAGTACAGTCTACACTGGAAACCAGAAAATCCAAATATATGTTGGGATCATGGTGTTTGAGCTGCACAAAGAGACACCCAACCTGCTCTTTGGTGCTTGCTTTCTCATGCCTCTGCTCTCTTGCATTCTAGAACACCAAAACTACTTTGGAATAGACGAAAACCTTGGTCCTGTGGCAGTCAGCATCCGCAGGGAGAAAGTGGAAGATGCCAAGGAGAAAGAAGGATCCCAGTTCAACTACAGGGTGGCTTTCAGGACAAGTGAGGTAAGGCTGCTGTCTACTCTAATGGTCCAGGGCAAAAGTCAGGGCCACGATGGGCAGTGCCGCTTTAGTGTGTGTTAGAGCATTGAATTTATTTCCTTAACGATGGCAACATTTAAGGTAATTGGAAAGGTGGTTCCAAGTGAAAAATTTGGAAAGCTGTCATGGATGTGCCAGAATATATGCTAGAAAGGATAATGTGATAAAGACAGAAGGTTTGGGAGCTGAGACGCTGAGAATGCATGTGAACTAAGCAGTTCATTTCTGGCTTGAGAATAATATTAAAATCTAATGCAGGAAGTTAGGTGGTTACAAAGGGGTGTGTATTTAATGAGTGTTTTTTGTCAGTCTAGTGTAGCAGCACTGGCTGCCACACCTCACTGTGTGGAGGACCTAGTTTAGCTCCTGGCCTGTATCTGTTTCCTGAAAAGTGAGATCATTACACAGTGGTGTCGTGGAGGGAACTAAGTGGGCAGTGATGCTGGCTTCTGTGAAGAATTAGATCTGCTCTGCATTATAGGTTTTCGTCCCATTTCCCACTATAATTAGAGGGATATACTGTATGTTTGGCAAATATGACAGGATGTGCTGGGTACAGCTATAATCCTAGCTATTTGGGAGGCTGAGGAAGGAGGATCACAAGTTCCAGGCCAGGAGGAAATACTGGGCTTGTAGCTCTGTAGCAGAATACTTCCCTGGCATGCACAGTGTCTTGGGTTTAATTCCCCCAACACCATGGAAGAAAAAGTTCTGGAATATGTGTTTGAATTTATGTTTCGTGGATCAGAGAGGGAAAAAAGAGCCTTTTTAGGTTTGTGCAGTGTGGGTATGAGCACATGTCACCTGGCATATGTGGGTCCCAGCGACCCAGTCTTCTTGCTGGATCTGCACAGATGCTGTCAGAGCAGTGTGGTTCGATAATGAGACACATGCCATCCAGTTTAGTAGCCCTGAGCTACAGGTGGCTGTTTCCCTGTGGAATAATTGAATAAAATTAGATAATGCGTCCTTTTCATCACCAGTCACCATTACTTTCCACACATTCAGTGACCAGTGAGACTTGAGCAAGCCAAGAGCATTCTCACTGAGCAGGAGGTCTGTTGGTCTCTGTTAGGAGCATTCTGCAAATGTTGAGTATCCTTGTGACAACACTCAGTCCCCAGAAACAGAGAGGTAAATCAGAACAGGTTTGGGGCTGCAGTGCAGGGCTTTCTCAGCATCTTAGTTCTGAGACCATGCTCTGAATGACAACTCTATACCTCCATGGGATGGTTGAGGCCGTGTCACAAACCGTGGGACACAATCCCGTGTTTGTCTTCTCAGTCCTGAATCTTCCCGCGTGGGTGCCACTAATAGTCCACCATCAACCTCAGGAAGCTCAACACAGAAATTAAAAACAAGGAGAAGGAGAAAAGAATAGAGGTAGAGAAATGGGAAGGCAGGAGAAAGTGAGGGGAAGAGGAGAGCTAGTGGGCCGGGTTATAGTGCTGTCTCTCCTTGGAGTGGCTTCCCCTGGGGCCAGAGGTGCTGGATGGTCTTAGTTCTCATGACATTGCTGTGCTTCACTTCTCCTCCTTAGGTACACAACTGATTATTTCAGCCTCTCTGGCTTCTTTATCCGTTTATATCATTTCTATTTAAAGAGGGAAACTACTGATTTTTCACCTTCAAATGTGGTACTTTATTCCCCTTTCCGCCCTGCTCAGAAAAGCCTTGCTTTTCTTCTTCCATTGTCAAGGCAACAACCAGGACCTAATCCTGACTGCTGTCCTGTGTTTCCTAGGCTCCGCATAGGTGACGGAGAACTGACTGTAGCCTTATGTTTCCTTGTAGCTTACGACCCTGCGAGGAGCCATCCTGGAGGATGCTGTGCCCTCCACCGCCAGGCACGGCACCACCCGTGGACTCCCGCTCAAAGAAGTTCTGGAATATGTCATCCCAGAGCTCAGCATCCAGTGCTTGCGGCAGGCTTCCAGCTCCCCCAAGGTCCCAGAGCAGCTGCTCCAGCTTGATGAGAAAGGGGGGTGTACAGTGCGGGCGGTCCTGTGTTTCCTAGGCTCCGCATAGGTGACGGAGAACTGACTGTAGCCTTATGTTTCCTTGTAGCTTACGACCCTGCGAGGAGCCATCCTGGAGGATGCTGTGCCCTCCACCGCCAGGCACGGCACCACCCGTGGACTCCCGCTCAAAGAAGTTCTGGAATATGTCATCCCAGAGCTCAGCATCCAGTGCTTGCGGCAGGCTTCCAGCTCCCCCAAGGTCCCAGAGCAGCTGCTCAAGCTTGATGAGCAAGGGGTGTGTACAGCGTGCGGGCGGGGTGTGTGTGTGTGTGTGTGTGTGTGAACTTCTGTCTGTGTTTCTCCACATTTGGGAGGTCCTTCCCATCCTTCTTTTAAAATCATTTATTTTAAATGCCTTGGAGTCTTTTTCCCCAAATGCCTTGCTGTGTACCTTGGTTACACAAACAAAAGCATTTGGCAGAATTTTGTTTTTGTTTGTGAATTCTGCATCAGGTGGCAGACATGATTGTGGCCATCTTTCCCACATGAACACAAACATGAGCATCTTTTCCAGAGTTATGGACCAAATGAAGCTTGTGAACCCAGAGTACCACCGTATGCCTTGACTGTAGATGAGAAGTGTGCTGCCTTTGTAGTGTAGTGCAGTGTTCCACCTGCCGAGACCTGGCCTGGCAAGAGTACGTCTGGTTGGATGATTAGTGGAGTCCATAGTGCTTTTAGGCAGTGTTTAAAAATCCCACACTTGGCCCTTATAGTTAAGGAGTGCAAGTTTGAGCCTACCCTGGGTAATTTAGTGAGATCCTATCTCAAAATTAAAACAAAAGAAAACAGAAATGTAAAAATGGGCAGGGAATGTAGCTCAGTGTAGAAGCCCTGGGTTCAATTCCTTGTACTTGGTAAAATGAGAGAGAAGGAGAGAGGGAGGGAGGAAATGGATAGATTTTTAACATCTGGTCTTTTGGTTTTTGGGGGCGTTTTTTGGTACCAGGGATTGAACTCGGGTCTTTGCTCTTGCGAGGCAGGCCACCGAACCACTGAGCTAAATCTCCGGCCCTAACATCTGTTTTTTAAAGTCCCTGACAAATCACAATTCACCAAGTCATGGCAAGTTCGTTGCGGGTAGTGCTGTGGTTTTATTTTTATTTTTGGTTTTTGGTTTTTTTGGAGGGGGGTTGGGTACAGGAGCTTGAACTCAAGACCTTGCACTCGTGAGGAAGGTGGCAGCACCACTGAGCTAAATTCCTGGCCAGTAGTGCTATGTTTATTCATTTTGTGGATGGTAAATTTGCCTGGGGGGGACAGGCCAGTGCCATGTCACTGTTCTGTGGCTTTGTAAGCTAGAAAAAGTGTTTAGATACTTCAGGTATGTAATTGTGAACACTGCTGGCTACTGCTCTCTTCAGGTCTGACCCCTTCCTGGTCTGATGTAGTCACTCACTGAGGGTCTCTTCCTCTTTCAGGGTAGGCCTGAGCATGAGAGAGACTCCTTCCTGCAAGGTGTCCTCCTGGAGTTTGATAAGTTGTTTCCAGGGGGAAGGAAAATAATAATTATGAAGCTGGACTGGATGCTTTTGTTACATAGTTTACATAATTCACCACTGGAAACCTCTACAGTCCCACTGTTTTCCTCCTTAAGGAGACTATCCTAATTTATATAATAAATAAAGTAATAAACTAGATACATTCATGAAATTATGTCAGTTGATATTTCAAAACTATTATTTAGTTGTATGTGACATCTCCTGCCAAGACCCTAGGACACCTCTGGCAGAGCGATTGATTTGCTCTGGGCCAGTGCCCCTCTCTGGCTGTGTACATCAGGTTTGCTCCTGATGCAGGCTCCTGGTCTTCTCTGGGACCATCTGTCCAGAGCCAGGAGACTGAGTCACAACACTCTCCACTTGTTTTCAAGGCCATTCTGCAGCTGTTTTTGACACCCTCATTTTAATTTAGGTTTTCTAGTCAGTAATCACAAAGCCTGATGGAGCAGCCAGTGGTGATCGTGTCCCTGAAGGAGAAGAGAGGCACAGTTTTTCTGGAGACTATGTGGCTATCAGCTTGCTGCACTGAAGCCCTGGGGAACTCTGATGGGCATGTGCTTTGATTTGCAGCTGTGCTCATGGCCAGCACCAGCCCAGTCTCATCCCAGGACTCTGGGCTGGTTGCAGGTCACACCTGATGGCTAGATAGGGTTGGCCCAAGGTTCCACAGGTTAGAAGTGAAGACACTGTCTGAGAGCATTGAGGACTTCAGCTCATGGGGAGCTGGAGGCTCCTCTTTTGTGATACTTAGGAGAATGTGCTGCTGGCTTTCAGGTGGATGCAGGAGAAAGGGGACCATAAAGCATTGGTACTAAGGGAGACTTAAGTGATGGAGGACCTTACTGAATATCAACGTGTTTTATTTTAATGGACTAACAACTCTCCTAGTAAATAAGCCATGATTGTTTATTCTCAATCTCTATCCTAAGTTCCATTTTATGGGCTGCTCACCTGGCCAGTTATCAGAGGTGTGGTGGTGAGGGCCTCTGACAGGGACCTGCACCATGTCCTGCTGGGTGTGTGGCTGGTACCTCACTGTGCAGAGTCTAGCAGCCGCCATCACACACCTGTGAGCACTGACATTAATTCTAGTCTTGATTTCACTTGAGCTCGATGGCTCGCACCCTCTTGGTTGGTAACACAAAGCCTGTTTGCTGTTAGGATACAGGCGAGGCTGGTGTCTGCCAGGCTGACCACTCAGCACTGAGCAGAGAGCGCCCACAGGATTCAGTTCTCCAAGTATCTGCCCTCTTCTCAATGAAAAATGTCCAGTCCACTAGACTTGGGGAATCAGAAAGAGTGTGCCAGGCTGGGGCGGGGAAGCTTAGCCAGACCCAGCCCAGACTGCTCTACTCTTCTCTTTTCCCCAAGAAGTGGGCATGAGCAGAGGAAGAACTCCTGTCCCACAGACACCAGGGCAGACTGCACAAGCTGTCTCGGGGCACTAGACGAGGTGGGCAGCACATGGCAGTCACAGTATTCCAAGGTGAGAAGTAGGTAAAGAGTAGAGTTGGGCAAATAGCAGCAGCCAGGACACAAGTGAGCTCTGGAGACCCTGAGTGACAGTGTGACAGTTTCTCCTGAGCACTGAGGAGGTGAGAGTCCTGGACTGTGCAGGCACTGAGGTGGAACCCTGGTGTTCCACAGTATTAGGGCTCGACCCTTGTTAAAGCAAGGACCACATTATCAGAGAGTTGAAATCCTCTCTGACAGTGAAGAGAAGTCAAACTAACATGGCATGAGAGAGGTAAGGCAGGTGTTTTAGAACCATGTGTAGTGTTACTACAGATCCCAGCAGTCACAAAAGTCATGAGCGTCTGTGAGGTAACTGCTGGTCAAAAGTGGGTCTCTAATCTCTGTAAGATCCCAAATGTCTCTGGAGTCACGAAGGAATATCTAATATTTATAATGGAATGATAACAGGCGTTTTTATGATACTTAAATTGTTTGGAAATGTTCTTTCCTTGACCCTCCTAAAGAAGTAGTTCCGCAAAATCCATAGCATGGTGTCTAAGTTATTTCTGCTCGTTGTCCTGTAGCCCACCCTCAAGGTCAGGACCACCATCTGTCCTCCCTGTGTAACAGGAAGCCTACTGTTTCCATGCACCAAGACACCCATCATTGTGGGTGACAGATTCTGTCAGTGTTTGAACAGGGGATGTTTCCTTTTATGTTCTCTCAGAGTGCTTAGGCAAAGGGACATTTCCCATGGCCTGCAGGGTCATCCAGGCTATGACACACCTTTCCTGCAGTGTATGCTGTCATTGGGTATTGATATGATTTTGTTGCTCAAGGGAAATGAGTATCATTTTGCCATATTTTGCTACTATAGGCAGCTATGAAGTTTGATTAAAGGCTCTATCTTACATTTCAGTAATAAAAGTGAACAGTGTGGTGGATTGATTTCTTCAGGAATCCACGGTGTCTGATAATTTGTCAGTTCTGTAGCTCAGATTTCTGGTAGTAAGATAAAGAGCACTGATTGTATGAAGGAGAAGCAGTTCTTATTTGGGCAAAATGGGAACACTGTAAAAATGGAAGCCATTTCTCCTGGTCCCCAGAGGATGTCTCTTGGCTTCCAGCAGGATACAGCATTGACTGTTACATAGGAGTTCAGCAGGGACTCTTCCTTTATGGTGTGTTGTATCTTTAGCAGATGTTTTCTTTTCAAGATAGTAAAAAATGTGAGAAATGACTGTAATTGTACTACTAAAGTTACTTTTATGGAAACAGCATTTTTCTGTTTATACACATAAATCACAATTTCCACTGGGGTTCTTTCCTTACCAGACCTTAATTTGATTTGTGTTTTCTTACAGCCTTACATATTTCCATGAATGTTGAGATAAATCAAAGAAAAAAAGTTATTAGAACCAGAGAAAGAAAACTTTTTAAGGTTCATAGCCTTTTCTTCTTCCCAACTTAGAAGATAGTTCCAATTATTATATGTAGCTATGAGATTAAGTATTTTCACAGTTGCATTTTTCAAGTAGATCCTTGAACCTGAGAACCCACCCTTTTGGGAACCAAGCAAATCCTACATGGCTATGGCCATGCATTTTATTCCTTAGGGTTTCTGATATTTCTCCAGCTATATTTTGGAGTTTCTGGTTTTCTTACTTGTAGCATTTTGTACAGTGATGCTCGTTTACTTTTTTGCTTATTTGCTTATGGGAATTGGTTAGGCATACTTTCCTGAGAACAGAATTCTAGGCTTTTTTATACTTTTAATTTTACTGGAAGTTAGCTTGTCTGTATGCTTTGCCAAGTAATTACACTTCCTACCCCTTTCAGCTAAGCTTTCAGCACAAGATTGGGATCCTTTATTGCAAAGCAGGCCAGAGCACGGAGGAAGAAATGTACAACAATGAGACAGCAGGACCAGCTTTTGATGAATTCCTTGATCTTCTGGGCCAGAGAGTACGGCTGAAAGGATTCAGTAAATACCGCGCACAGCTGGACAACAAAAGTAAGCTTCACGCACACAAGTTGATGTCTCCAAAGGTGGACATACCATATAAGTCTAAGTAGATGCTCACAAGCCCTCCTCATCTGAACCAGGAAGCAGCCCAACAGGCTTACATGGTAACAGGTGTAGATGCAGAGGAAGCATATTTCTTAAGAGCTGTGTACTCATGTCATGAGCTCAAGAAGTCAGTGCTTTTTCTTTTTTAACTCTGGCAAAGATTCCTCAGTGATTCTGAAAAAATCTTTCAGTATTTTCCTCCTTTTCTTAGTCTCCCCTGCTCTGGTGATCCTTGTTTCAGTGTACCCAGGGCAGGCTGTGTATTTCTCCCTCAGAGACCCAGTGGTGACCTACTCATGCATGCACATTATTGGGCTCATTTTGTTCATTTCTGAATTCATGATGCAGACTGAGGGGCTGGGACAGTGAATTGGAAGCTGACACATCCTGCTCAGCAGGAACCTCAGTCGGGCCCCTTAAATGGGGCATACCTAGCTCTCAGGTATCAGTTGGTGGCCCAGTTCAGAACGTGGCCATCTCTGAGTCATGCCCTCCTGGGATATACAAGTCTCAACAGTATCTCCATTTACACAGTGATATTCTTCTTCACAGTCCTTATAAATTCTATATCCCTTTGTGCTATCATTTAGTTGCTGTTAGCACCTGAAATACTAAGGCAGCATAATTTTGAGAATTGGGGAAAATTGAAAACAGAGCATCTGAGAGAACTGGTAGCCTGAGAGGCAAAGTGGATTTCCACAAGGGAGTACTCATTGCCGCCCGGCCAGGACCGCAGTAGAGTGATCTGCTGCCCTGAGGCCCCTGCCTCACCATCCGCTCAACGTGGAACCATCACTGATATACTTTGTCACTCTGTCCAGCGATACCTGTAGTCAGTCATATCTTCAGATCTGCTTTTGAAAGCTGATGTTCACACACAAGCCCAGGCAGCAGTGTTAACTCATCGGCTGATTCCAACCATTACATGGGGTTATTGCTTGTGTCGCAGATGTAAAGACCATAGAGAAAGCTCATGGGACCCAGTATCTGAATATTCACGTGTTAGGAAAGAGCTACAGCTTTCCTCCTTTTTTCTTTTTCATACTCCCGTTTGCTACAAACCACAGTTCACCTGCTAGGGCTGCAGTGCTACCTGGCAACCTCCTAGAGATCAGCTGAGGACTTGGGATCCTGGTTTTCAGTGTACATCTTCTCCCCAGTGAGTTGCACTGAGAAGACATCTTAGAGACTTCTGGTGCATGGGGTCTATAAAACTAGCACAGATGATCCAGGCACTCACCTCTGCATAGATTGGCATCAGCTTCAGGGTGTCATGACTAGGAACAGTGCACGCAAGGAGATGGAAACCTAAGAACCTCTGACAAGCCACAGATCTTTACTTTTAGGGGCAGGGCATTCTCTGAGATACAAAGAAGTCTGACATCTCTTTAAAGAGAGGAGTCTAAGAGTTAGCTATTTTGAAATGATCAAATAGAAATTACTCTTTTGAATAGAATTATGTCTTTCATGGACTGCACATGTGAAAATCTTCCTTCTGAAATTCAAGAGAGTTGAATTCTGTCCATGGGAGATGGGTCAAATGTAGGTCTCGGGTACCTCACAAGAAGAGTTCAAGATACAGGCTGAAGTACCTGGGATCACCCTGCCAGCTTGGAAAAGGACTGTTTCCCTATTGAGCACAAAGCGAGTAGAATAGGAACAGGGGAGTTGGCCACTAAGATGCTGTCTTCACTAACAGAGTACAGCCCAGCCTGGGGCAGAGAATGATCAGACTGAGGCCCAGCCTAAAGTCTCCTTCTAAGTAGGGAAACTTGCCGCAACCCCTGGATGTTACCTTGTCCATTGCCATATTCATATCGGAGATAAAAACTTTAACCTTCAGAATATTTACTTTTCAGAAGGTCACCTTGTAATATTGTTTAGGACAGACAGCTTATGATCACAGCCCGAAAAGTGCCTCCAACACACACAGCACAGCTTCCTTCTTTCAGTGTGTTTTCCTAATGTGAAAGATGGCTCTGGTCAGTGTTCCTCTTCCTGGATCCTGACTCCCGTGGTCCAAGGTGTGGACTGTCTCCCAGCGTTTTAGCTATTTTGTCACCAACTTTCCACTTGGTGGCTAGTGAGCCACATGCTCGTGACTAGGCCATGGGTGTTCATCGCTCCCTAAGCCTGTGATTCAGTCCCTTACCATATTTATTCCAAATTCTGAGTCGAGAATTAAAAGAGCATTGTTTAATAAAAAGTCTATGAAAAATAACAGGTATGTGTTTCATGAATACTCAAAGGAAGAATTCTTTTTTTTGTTTGTTTGTTTGTTTGTTTGTTTTTTGAGATAGGGACTCACCATGTAGTTGTACTCACTATGTAGTTGAGTTGAGACTGACCTGGAACTCACTATGTAGCCCAGGCTGGTCTTGAACTCATAGTGATCCTCCTGCCTCAGCCTCCCGAGTGCTGGGATTATAGGCGTGCGCCACCATACCTGGCTTAATTCCTGTGTTTTGGAACTGATTAGTATACTGCTTATTAGATAAATATCCTGTCTGACTTATCTTTGTGGTCATTTGTACATAACTGTTTATAACCACTTTGGGTGCTCTTTGGGTGTGAAATTGCAGCCTGGGAGCCTCTTTCCAGAGCACCTGAAAGCTGTAATATTTCTTCTACAGAATGTCAACACTACCTCTGAATCACAGATACATTTTACAAAGACATACAACAGGATTCAGAAAGAAAACAATAAAGGTCCATGAAGATTAAATATTTTAATGTTTTAAAATAAACATTACAAATTTTAGACTAAAAACACCCTAACTTACCCAAAATGGCTACTCAGAGATTTCTCCAGCAAACACAGTGAAATAAATTATGATGAACAGCATTGTCTTTTGCTGTTTTAAAAGGTAAAAGAAAATGAGCCTTTGTAGAGACCAAGAATTGAGAAGGGCAATTCTGAATTCCTGTATGTCTTAAATTTCTGTGTGCCATTTTACTTTATTTACACTATGCAAAGTGGTCTGATACTGTACTCCAAATGTATTACCGAAGTCCTTTACAGTCACTGAGTCTAAGTGTCTGAGATTCACCGAGGCAACTTCACAGATAACAGAGGTGGATTTTGAATTTGCGAAGACTCAGTTTGCTTCCAAAAGATGGATGGCTCTGCAGTCAGCAGGACTCAGACGTCAGGAAACTTGAGACATGTGTCCGTGCAGAAGGTGCAGTGTGAGACCACAGTCAGTCTCCTTAATTTGTCAGATGCATCAACACTGCATTTTTCTGATGAAAGAAGAAAAAATCTTACATCCTTCAGAAAGACATTTTAAAATAACATTTTCATCCCTATTTCCATACTGAATCAATTCTGTTCCATTTTTCTGCATTCTGAAAGATCACAGGCCCCAAAATGACCAAAAATCAGCTGCAATCACACAGATCCTCTTTCTTCTGCTTGCCTGTGTGCCTGGGGCAAGAGTGGCTTGGTGGGTTTTGAGTCCACACTGCAAGGTCAAGAACAGAGGAAAAGCAGGAAGGACCCACACTAACCATGTAGAGGGCAGAGATCACTGGCCACAGCCTTGGGTAGAAAGGGGAGCAGGAGCGACAGCCTCCAGACTGTAAGGTCACAGCAGGTGTGTGTTTTGGGGCTGACTCACCTGTTACAGGAATAATCTTCAAAGTGTTGCCTAACTTGCTTTTATAATTTTTGTTTTCAGCGGATTCCACAGGAACCCATTCCCTTTACACCACATACAAAGACTACGAGCTCATGTTCCACGTGTCGACCCTGCTTCCCTACATGCCAAACAACAGGCAGCAGGTAGGTCTTCCTGGCCCCGCACCTACCCAGTGACTGTGTTTTCTTGAGCTGACTTAATAATCTTTCACTCTTTTCTCATTTGGTCTATAAAGGGAGTATTACTGCACTTTTTCTTTATTATAAAACCTGGAAGCACTTGCTTGCTGGGCAAAATCTTAAGTGAAATTCATGTCAGCTGTACAGATTATGAAAGCCTAACTTCATTGACCCAAAATGACTTATTTATTCACTGGTACCATTCTCAGCTATTATTCCTCCTTTGGTTTTCATTGTTTTAATTAGATTTATTGACCACAATATATTGACCTTTTTAGAGGAAAAAAAAAGTCATTGGGCCTCATACTTTGAATGCAGCCATTGACTGAGTTAAGAACATTCAAGAAAACTTGAATGATCCATAAAACATAACATGAAAGATAACTGCTTTTATTAGTACATGTTTGCAGTACATTATTACATTCATGATGGGGAGTTGGTACATGTACATAACATCCCTGTTCTATTGTTTTCTTCATCATCCCCTTCAGCTCTCCTCTCTCCGGTCTCCACCAACCCACTTTTTTTTTTTTGGTATAGCTGTGAAATGGATTGAGCATATTGTTTTCCAAAAATTTTTAGAAATGATGTGCTAGAAATATTTGCAGTGTCATGTCTGCTCTGGGCTTGAGAGTGCTTTGAGAATTGTTTGGGATAGAAAATGATCAGATTAGGCGTAGGGAGGATCTGTGGGATGGGAAGGCTGAACACTATCTGCAGTGTTCACAGCAGACAGGAAGATGAGGGTGGCCGGAGTTCCTGAAGACTCACCAGCAGCAGGCTTGCCATGTTCAGGGATCTGGTTTGGGGCCTGCCTTAACTTGAGAGCTGTGGCCTTGTGTGGGTGAAAGCAGAGTTAAAGCCCAAACTTGCTGGGGTCTCCTCATAGCGCTTCCTGCTCCTCACCTGCTCTAAGTACATCAAAACACCATGGACGAATTTTATCAAATGCTTTTTCTGCATCTATTGAGAGGATCATATGGTTTTTGTCCTTGACTTTGTTAATATAATGTATTACATTCACTGACTTTCGTATGTTGAACCACCCTTGCATCTCTGGAATAAATCCGACTTGGTCATGATGGATGATCTTCTTAATAATCGTCTGTATTCTGTTTGCTAGTATCTTATTAAGGA